TCTCTCAGCTTAAGAGACACTGGCCTGGTTCAGACATAATGACAAATAATGGATTGTCATTTGAACAATAAGCCACAGTGAGCCTCAGCCTCCCGCCTCCTCTTCCCATTCATTTGCATGTGAGAAGAGAAAAGAAGCTTTTATTAATTTATTATTAATATGGTTTATAGGCCACTCTCCATTAAAAAATCCCAGACTGTTTAAACTGCAAACAACAGATCAATATCCCAACAGTAAACAGCAAAATACATTAAAATCTAACTACAACAATGAATAATAAAAGGAACAGATATAACCCTTCCACTTATAGTTTGCTGCAAACCGGTTTGGCATTGTGTTGAATGCAGCAAATGCTCGCTTCTGTTTGCTCCATTTCAGATCCAGGTCTGAGATCTAAACAAATCACAGCTGGTTGCTTTTGGTAGCAAGAGCAAAGCAGAAGTGGAAGAGCCTAGCCTCCCACAAATGAAGGGAAGAGGAAGATGGAGTACATGTGCTCAAATAAATATGCTATACTTTAAAATGGTTAGCCTCTAAATGTTTACATTATTTTCATCATCGGAATGGATTCCCTTATTTGCATTACTGAAATGCCTCTACCATTTCCAAAAAAATAACCCAGTACTGTAGCGCCAAAACAGTAATCCAACTTGTTTCAAATACATAAATAACTGTTCTCACCTTGTAGCTACAGCAACATAGTCCTCATCATGTAAACAAAAGGCAATGCGGGAAATGGCACCTTCCTACCAGGAGATAAAGCAGATTTGTCCTATTAATATTTAGTGCCTCAGCAAAGCCTGATTTGTAGCTGCTATGCGGGTTTTTTCATATTCATTGCCCACTCCCTACCTGATTTTTGACACATGAAAGAGGGAAGCAAAAAATAAAAATCAGAGTCTGTTCTAGGTGGACTATCCCTTTATCTCACCAACTGCCCTTTGGGAAGGATTCCGGTGACTTAATGCTTTGAGATTGATATTGATAGTGTGATTGTATTAATGCATTTTCACTTTTGTTATTTATAAGCTACCTTATTAGGCTGAATATAAGAGGTCTGGATGGTGGCAAACTGAAAACAGGCCGTTTCTGCAGTGACTTCTAGTTTGTGGAATGCTCTCCACAGGGATGCGCACCTGGTGTCTTCATTATATATCCTTAAACACTGGGCAAAAACATTCCTGTTCTCCCAAGCACTTGGCTAATGGCCATTAGAACTGGGGAGGGTTTTTTGTTGTTGTTATGGTATGTATTTTTGGGTTTATATATTGTAAACCACCATGTGATCTTTGGGTGAAGAATGGTAAAAAATAATAATTTAGTTTTGATGTCTAATTGGTCTTCTTGATCTGATTTCTGCATTAGCTACAATTCACATTTTAGAAGATTTTCTTAGTCATCTAAGGCCTGAAAGAGCAGCTGAAAAGACTTGGGGCAATATCAAACTAGCTCACACTCAAGAGTAGATCACTGAAATCAAGGCACTTAAGGCCATTAATTACAGTGGCTCTGCTCCAAGTATGACGTGGCAAGGTATCATTCTGAATTTTGTAAATGAGATACAAAATTGTATCTAAAATAAAAAAACTTTATTTTTTATTATGGTATGCTTTAATGAAACAACCTTCTCAGTGTCTGCAAATAACATTTCATTCTTAGCCTGAGGTTTCTTAGAAGCATTTCTTCAATCTTACCTTATGAGTGAGAAAAAGTCTCTGTTTCCGGCTATCTTTCTGGATTAGATTCAGGCCTCCACCAGAGCTACCTAGCGCCAACCATTTTTGAGAAACTGCTATACATGTGCACTTTAGAAAAGAGAAAAAGGATAGAGTTAAAAACCAGCTGATTGCTGTAAGAAAATACATTAATGATATTTGTTTTATTTTCAGTTCTACTGAGGAAGAAAAAAAATCTTTCATGGAATGGGGACTCTATTTCACTCTTACTACTGATCCATTATAATAGTACATGGGTCAAAAAATGTCTTGCTATGAACTGCTTAGCATGACAAGAACAAGGTGTTGTCTCTCCTGTAAAGAAATATAAACCACTTACAAATTTCTGTTGAAATCTGTAATGGTATCTAACTAAATGAGAGGGACATTAGTGGCGGTCACACAGGGCTCCCGGACGTTTCACGGTCTATGGAACCTGTGCCACCACTGCGGTTGCTTTCTTCGCTGCCACCACCCCGCTTCTCATGGGGACACACGGAGTCCAGACAGTTGTTAACATAAACAAATAATCAAGTTTATTTTTAAGTGCAGGAATAAGCGTATGGTTTCGGTTTATTTTTCTCTTGTCAGTTTCTTAAATCTTAGTTCCTAACAACTTCAAACTGAATTATTCCCAACTATCTAACTCCCTAACAATTCCTCTCACTCTCTCACAATACAACTCGACCAACCCACTGCCTATTCCACCCTCTTCCTTCTCCAACACTCAACACATCTCCTTGCGCTCTTAGAATTACAGAGTATAGCTAACAGTGCCCTAAATTATACTCTCCAATAAATAGTACAGTACCAACTCTTGCATATTTTCCTTCTACTTGATAAAATAATTTGTTAATTTAAGTCCATTAAACAGATAAAATCTTCTCTTCAATAATAAGCAGAAAGTTTTACCATCAAGTTCTCTCCACATTCAGAATATTATCTTCTTAAGATTTGTCTTTTGATTCTCTTTATGATTGAGAACTCCTGCTTTAGCCTCAAAGCTGCTTGTAAAATTTTATGCCAGTGGATGTCTACAGTTTCCACCTTGGAATGTATGCTATGAACTACAAGTACATGGTATTTCTAAATTCTGTTAAGCAAATATCAACATTATAGCAATTATGACTTGAACGCACCTTCAGACGATTAGAATCCAGCCTGAGAGCAGACAGGAGTGGGCTGAGGCACTCAAACTCTGCCAATACATGGCTGCAAGATTCAGGTACCACGGGCATAGACATCACTGGCACGAAAGATACAACAGTCTCTCAAAAGTTTATTATTGTTTCATTTTCCAGCTCCACCTATCAAAGTGAAATAAAAAAATGTGAAATACAACTTCACTTCTTAAACATTTGGATTCCTATACTGTACATTTATTTCTTCTGTGCAGGTACATAACATTGCTAATACTTCTATGATAAGGCAAATACACTGAATTATAGACAGATGGACAGTTACACAACTACTAATTAGCTGACTGATCCAAAACTGGTAAGCATATTGAACCCTTCAACTTTCTGTAGCTTCAATCCTAGATTGAACTGAATCAGGGGAACTGAATTCAGGGAAACTCACTTCAAACATCCACATAGAAATGGATGGACTGCACATGCCAAATACAACACAATAATACAGTACAGCACTTGCAAATCATCTCATAAGAATTTGGGGTGCACTTTCTATGAGAAAAATGGCCCCAGTACATTGGCATAACCAACAGATATCAGCATCAACCCACAAACCCAGTTCAAAGATGAGATCCAAAACATGCTCACATACTTGAAAGCAGAGCAGTTTAATGTGTTCATTCTTGGTCTTTAAATAGGAAAGACTCAATCATAACAAAGAACACACTTTTTTCTTCTAAGCTCTTCTCCAACCCACATAAATTCAGTAAGCGATAGAAAAGGGAACCTTCCATTGTCACCATATATGAACCAAATGCAAAGCAAAGCACAACAGAAATGTGGGTGGTTGTTGCCAATTCCATACAAGCAATGCTTTTTTTCAGGGGGTACTCAACGGAACCTCTTGTTGTTGTTAAAAAGTGTGGCTCTTACTGTAACAACTTCATGGTGAGTACCGGCACCTATTTTTCTAGGAAAAAAGCACTGCATAAAAGTCATTACTTTTGTACCAGACCTGCGGTCCGAAAAAGTAACTGGGATTTGAAGCATGGACGCTCCCAACTCGGTGACAAGGAAAATTCATCTCCTATGATGTGCCCTATTGACCCAAAGCACTTCCGAAAGGATTGCCTCCCCACCTCCAAAAAAGAGATCAGTCACGTATGGATAAGGAAGCGGACTCTGCACCCAAAACACACTTTGCTCCAACCTTATGAGAGCCTAAGAACACCATGTAAAGCCATTTTCTAGGGACAAGATTTGGGGATGGCGCCCAAGCCCAAAAGATCGCAAGGCGAATAACGTCAGAGGGAAGAAATAAGGAAGCGAGACTGAGCTTCAGCGGAAGGCCCCAAACCGAAACCCCTCAGCCGCCTCGGCACACCTGGCAGCAGAGAAGCACGCGGGGCACCTGCGAGCCCTCTCCCCTTCCAACTCGCCCCCGGGAAAGGAGGGGGCGGGATAACAAGCGCCCACCTGAGGGACAATAATGCCGCAGCCTGGAAGTCGGCTTCGGGAGAGCGGTTCGCCTCCGCTCCCGGCTACAGGTCGGCATTCCCCGCCAGCCCCACCCGCCTGTCAGCTGCTCGGCTCTCCTGCCCGGCCTGCCCCGCCTCCAAACACAACGCAGCGCGCGTGACTTCACCGCCCCTTCCCCCCCCCGCCCGCCCCTTAGCAGGCGTCATCCAAATGCGGCTGGCGATTGCGTCACGCCGTCTCGCTCCCTCCGCGTCACGTGACGGCCACGCTCGCTCGGCCCTCCCCTTCCTCCCCCCCTTCGGACCGTTGCTGAGGCAAGAGCCCCCTCCCCCCTCAGCGCGGCGGCGCCGGCGACCTAGAACGCACCCGCGGGACGTACGGAATGGAGGACGGGCGGGGCAAAGAACGGGTTCCTCACATCTGCAAGACCCGGTGGCGGACTCGTAAGGAATGAGACGAGAGTAACTGCCTTGTTATTGTTTCGTCGTCATCCTCCCCCTTCCCCCCCACCCTTCCTTCAGGACAGTGTCATGGCCGCGGCGGGGCGGGCAGGCCTTCACGTGATCAGAGAAGCGTCCAGGTGGCTGACGGGCACCATCACGTGACGTGGGTAAGTGGCAATGGCGGCGGCGGCGGGAGTAGGTGTCTCCTTTTGTCACGTGATGCAGTCTGGCTTCTGCCGTGCGTGAGCTAACTGTTTCCGGTCACGTGTGCCTTCTCTGCCGAGCTCCTTGGCCGCCCCATGGCCCAGGAGGAGGCGGTGGCGGCGTTGCGAGCCCTTCAAGCCGGGAGCGAGGCGTCGTTGGCGCTCCGTGCTGTCCGCCTTTGGGAGTGAGGGCTTGAGGGCTTCAGTGTATGCCGCCAGGATCAGGAGGAGCGAGGAGTGAAAGTCCAGGGCCTCGGTAGTTACCCCTCACGGTAGGGGGCCTGACGGATTCAACGGTTCCGGGTTCGGAGGCCCGTCTCACTAGTTTTTGCTTCTTCGGAAGCGGGTAATGAATCTTTAATACTGGTCTGGGTTTCCTCTCTTCATGAAAGCCTGCTTATTGCAAGGCCATAGGATGTGGATATAGTTGCGCATGGCGAGGAAGCATGGGTTGCCCCCCCCCCGCTTTCGTACCTGTCAGTCCTTACAATTAATATTTGTTTTTCTCTGACTGTTTTTACCTCTACTTTAGGAAGTACTGTGGTATATCTTTACAGAGCAGCAAAGTTTTGTTTTGAGTCTGTATGTTTGCTTTTCGTGCTTTTTAATCTTTTATTCTAAAACTGTGCTATAAGTGCAACGGAAGGATTGGCTAATAACTTGGAAGGGGTGGTGTGGGAGAGGGCTAGTGCAATTTTGGAATGCTGAAGCTTTTCTTCCAGAAACTAGGGCCTAGAAATGTGGAAGGCAGAGTCTTCTGAATGAATAGAAGTATTGTTTAGATGTTGGAAGATGCGTGTGCATGAGTTCTGCTTTGCTGGTAGTACAATACAAATAACCTTTAAAAAACCACATTACTGTTTCCTATAATATTATATTGCTAAGTTCTCGATGGCACTAGAAATCATGTGCAGGCACACTTTTAAAATGCAGAGTAAAGTGCTTGGTGTTTCTATTACAGGGTTCTTTAGTGCATTACAGCTGAGTGCCTGAAACAAAGCATTTGACGTTTTAACACAATTTGAGAGAGGCACACAGCTCTCTTCTAAATTAGTACGTATATCCAATTTGTCAATGGGTAGAACTTTGATTTACCAAGCTTTAGTAGGTAGGCTGTGTAGGGAATTGGTGAGATAACACTGATGTGATTATTCCTTCAGTTGTGAGTTCCTTCAATGATGTGAAAGAAAACTTAGTGGACTGGGGGAGAAAACTTCGATTTGGAAGCTGGGTGTATGTTACCACGTTAGTCAGTTAGATAGTGTTTTATGCAAAGTCAGTACTATTCATGCTTGCTTCTCTGGGCACACATTGGAGACAGTGGGAACAAATCTCTAATGAAAGTTAAGAATTACCGGTAATTTGATAGTCCTTTATTATCTTCCTGTTGAAAGAATACACACAGCTGCAATCGGCTTTCCCCCAGCTCTGTGAATGCTTTACAAAATAAAATTAATTATTTACCCATCTATACAAAATTTCTGAGTGTTTGATAACTGGTAGTTTGTTAATACTGAGTGACAACTTGAGCTAAGCACTCTTTTACAACCAGATAGGCAAAAAGCTTGTGCCATTCTAACATTAGCAGAAGAAGGCTGGGCAATAATAACTTGGTCCAAGGTGAGGGTTGTTTTTTTCCCCTTACTAGGACTTCTGTTTACATCTATCCAGTTTACATCATCTTAAAATAATTTTACCACATGCAAAACAATGACACTGCGTATATTTCGTTGGGTCTGTGATTGTTCTTTGGAGTCTATACACACAGCAGGAGAGCCATGTTCATCGTGTGGCAATATAAATGAGATGCATTCAGTTTCTTACCTTTGGTTAGTTGAAGTATAATGTTTTTTCTTTCAAAACCATAGCTTAGAAGATTGAAAATAAGATTGGTTCATGTGTTCTGCATCCTCTTTTCACACATAGATTACCACACCTTCCCTGCTTCAGAAATTCATATTCATAGTGTTGCATCCAAAGCAAACAGAAGAATTCAAGCCCACTTTAGACCTTGAATAATCGGGGCAGGGGGGAGTTTCACTGCAGAAACAGAAATCCTTGCACTAACAGAACTACTTCATTGGCTATTGCCAGCTGTTCTAAGCAGTCATAATATGAGTATATTAACTAATATGCTAATATTGTATGGATTAATAGAGCAGTTCAAAAGTTGGAAGTATTTCCTGTTCAGTCAGTAAACCTTAAACTGACTGACCTTTTTCCTAGGCCAGTATAAAAAGCCATACTAGTCCGGCACAAAAAGGATATCCATGTAAGATATTCAACTTGGCCAAACCAACCATCAGAAACCTTTTATTGAAATATAAGCTAGGCTAGTTAGCTTTTTGTGCTATTAGTGTTCATTTAATTTGGGAAGAATTAGTCTTCTCTGGTGTTCTATCATAGTTCTAACAGCTTTTGCTTGTGAAGTGTTTGGCTGAAAATTGCATTATGAATATATGCAATACTCATTAAGTGGAGCATATTTCTATGATCTTAAAGGACGCGGGTGGTGCTGTGGGTAAAACCTCAGCGCCTAGGGCTTGCCGATCGCATGGTCGGCGGTTCGAATCCCCGTGGCGGGGTGAGCTCCCATCTTTTGGTCCCAGCTCCTGCCCACCTAGCAGTTCGAAAGCACCCCAAGTGCAAGTAGATAAATAGGTACCGCTTTGTAGCGGGAAGGTAAACAGCGTTTCCGTGTGCTGCGCTGGTGCCGGCTCGGCAGAGCAGCTTTGTCACGCTAGCCATGTGACCCAGAAGTGTCTCCGGACAGCGCTGGCCCCCGGCCTCTTAAGTGAGATGGGCGCACAACCCTAGAGTCGGACACAACTGGCCCGTACGGGCAGGGGTACCTTTACTATGATCTTATGTTAACTGAAGGGGCTGCCTATTTGCTTCTGGGTTCAGTTTAGAGTGCTGGTTCTAGCCTTTAACCAAATGACTTGCTGGGACCTAGTTTTGTTTTGTTTTGTTTTTTAACAAAATCTATATACCACTTGATTGTACTAAAACCTCTAAGTGGCCTACAAGAAATATTAAAATTATCAGTAAAAACTGTTAAAACAATTAAGAACATTTTAAAATAAGTATACGTAACAAAGAAAATTTAATTGTTGGTTATTTCAGGAACTGCCTACACCTGTGAGCCCTTTTAAGATTTCTGAAATATCTTTAAAGCCAACAACCCTGTCAAATTTGCCACTTCTTAGTTACGTGTTGCCACTTCTCTATAGTGTGTAGTAAACCATAGCTGTGTTTCCATAGCTTCACATTGTTTATTTCCCTGCCCACATCCCACCAGAAGCAATCAACAGTGAAGGAGGCATGGGGAAATGCAAGGTGTGATTACACCAGGACATTGGAGAGGGGAACTTGACATGTGGTTGCCACACTCAGACTTGTGTTTATTGTAACCTACTCAGCCCCATTCAGGGCAGATTTTAATCTGCAGCACTTGCCAGCTAATCAGTTAAAGCTTGATGCTTTTATTTGAGGGGTGGCAGAATTACTAGTCCCTATCTCTTTTTTTGAAGACTAGTATCTGGAATATGCAGAACCCAGTGAAATTGAGTTAGAATCAGTTTTCAGATAATTGCATCCTCCCTGCAGGTCTCCTCAAGGAAGTCTATGCAAGGACCCTGGACCCACCGAAGAGAATTTTATGGGTTTGCAGGGAGGAGGAAGGGAAAGAGCATTCCACTTGCACAGCCATTGGATATTATACAGTATATTTTGCGGTATACATTGCAGAGTGGTTTGGGATAGATAGAGGGGCTTATTCAGCAAATGGAACCACAAACTGAAACAGTCAAATTTTTTAATGATCATTCAGCAAGGAAGAGTGTATTTTAAAAGGTTATTAGATGGCACTCTCCCAGCACTTTTTGGCAAGTTTCATAATCTTTTGAACAATATAAAGGCTTAGGGAAATCAGTAGACCTTGGACTTTACTTGATTCCCCTCATTTTCAGGTCAGACAGAATTATTTCTTTGGACTATTGGTCATAGCTGTATTTCCATACATTTTTGGCCAGATTCAGTAAACAGTTGCACTAACAGGAGCCCACAGGAGCCTTTCAAGGCCATGCACCCACTCAGATTGGCTCTAGGGGGTTGAGAGAGCCCCCAGAACAGTGTGCAGGGAAGGAGAGGGAAGATTGCTCCATCTGGCAAGCGGAAATGAAATAATTGTAATAGCACAACGTTGAATTTCACCATCAAAATTAATATTTCTTGTTTTTAGGTAGTTTTTAATCAATAGAACTCTTATGATTTTAGCCCACTACAGAAATTGAAGGTGTAGCTTTTAATATGGAACAGCTCTGTCTTGCAGGCCCTGCGGTAAGATGTCAAGTCCCGCAGGGCCCTAGTCTCTTGTGACAGAGTGTTCCACCAGATCGGAGCCACAGCCGAAAAAGCCCTGGATCTAGTTGAGGCCAGCCTAACTTCTCTGTGGCCTGGGACCTTCAAGATGTTTTTATTTGAAGACCGTAAGTTTCTCTGTGGTGCATACCAGGAGAGGCGGTCCCGTAGGTACGAGGGTCCTAGGCCGTATAGGGCTTTGAAGGTTAAAACCAGCACCTTAAACCTGATCCTGTACTCCACCGGGAGCCAGTGCAGCTGGTATAGCACCGGGTGAATGTGCTCTCGCAGAGAAGACCCCGTAAGGAGTCTCGCTGCAGCATTCTGCACCCGCTGGAGTTTCTGGGTCAGTCTCAAGGGCAGCCCCACGTAGAGCGAGTTACAATAATCCAGTCTGGAGGTGACCGTCTCGTGGATCACAGTGACTAGGTCAGGGCGAGAGAGGTAAGGAGCCAACTGCTTAACTTGGCGGAGATGGAAAAATGCCGCCTTTGTTATAGCTGCAATCTGCGCCTCCATGGAAAGGGAGGTGTCGAAGATTACACCCAAACTCTTAACGGACGGTGCTGGCACTAATTGCGCCCCCGCAAGAGATGGGAGTTGCCCCCCCAATCCCATATCGTCCCGTCCCAGCCACAGGACCTCTGTCTTCGAAGGATTTAGCTTCAACCGGCTCCCACGTAACCATCCAGCCACAGCTTCCAAACATCTGGTCAGTGTGTCTGGGGCCGAGTCAGGATGGCCATCCATCAACAGATAGAGTTGGGTGTCATCGGCATACTGATGGCAACCCAGCCCAAAACTCTGAACAAGCTGGGCGAGGGGGCGCATAAAGATGTTTAAAAGCATCGGGGAGAGTATCGCACCCTGAGGTACTCCACACACCAAGGAGTGGCGCAATGACAATTCCCCCCCCCAAGCGCCACCCTCTGTCCCCGACCAGAGAGAAACGGGGGGCAGCAGAGGGGAAAGAGGGAAGGAAAGTCCTATTGTGTGAGTAGAATTCCATTCAGACATCATCAAATGCAATCTGGTTTTTTTGCATCCAAAATCTTAAATTTGTCTGCTCCACTTTCAGTCTGGAGAATAGAATGTTATCTTTCATTTTTCATGATTCAGAAAACAAAATGCACAAATAACAATAAAATGTAAACTCTTTGACCACATTACAACCTATATCTATGTGATAGCCTGTTCCTTGAATTTTTCAAATATAATTCATACTGGAGAGGACTTGGGCTTGTCTTGTTCTGCCTTCTGGCAGGGGAAACAAAACAAAGGGAGGTGGAAGATGCTGGTGTCAGAAGATTACCGTTTTTTTTGTGTATAAGATGCTCCCATGTATAAGACGCCCCCTACTTTTGAGGACACCAGATTTAGAAAATGGGCATATGCACTAGCCGTGTACAAGACGCCTCCATATTTTTAACCTTATTTTAAAGTAAAAAAAAACCTAGTCTTATACATGGAAAAGTACAGTATGTGCCAATTCACTGCTCACTTGACAATGGGCTATTAGTCCCCCCCCCCAAAAAAAAAAAATATTGCCTGATGAATGGCTGCAAGCCAGTTAAGTGCATTAACAGCAACCAGCAATGAATCTCCTATTTCCAGTGCAAGCCAGAGGCATTGCGGGAGGGGGGGGGGCAGGGCACACTGGGCACCACACCATGGGGGCGGCACTTAGTGTGAGGCCTGAGCCACGCATCTCTCCTAGGAGTGACGTGGTGGCTGAGGCGCCTGCAGGCTCTGTGCTGCCCAAAACGGCAGCCGTCTTACAGCTGAGGGGAAGATGGCGGGTGGGCTCCTTGGAGGCTCCGTGCAGCGCACCCTGCCCTGGCTTGCCCCACCCCCATGGGTGGCTTGTTCCGGGTGCAGGAGCTGCTAGCTACACCACTGGTGGAAGCTTCTAAATTGTTAAAGCAAGTGTGAAACTATGAAAAACCATGCTGAAATAAGTTTTTGTTTCTAAAATGCAGTCCTCTGTAGCCATTATGGCAACATCATCTGAAGAAGTGTTACTAATAGTAAAGAAGGTGCGTCAAAAGAAGCAGGACGGAGCTCTTTACCTCATGGCTGAAAGAATAGCCTGGGCACCTGAGGGCAAAGACCGATTCACAATCAGCCATATGTACGCAGATATAAAATGTAAGTGAAATGCCTAACACTTGTTTCATCATGTAACGTTTGGTTGAATATAAATGTTAAATGCTTAGCTGTTCTGTTTGAAGAGTTCAGGATGGGGGCTAAATAAACAAACCTCCCTAAACATGTTTGAGTCATCACGCTCATTGGATATTGCATTGTTTTAGTTTTGAAAAAATAAGACTTCCAGAACTCTAGCTGTTTCTCCACAGCAACCTGATGTGGAGATATTATTTTCTTGGAACCTGCCAACTTTTGCTGCTAGTGTTACTGTCTTACATAACTGCTCCTTACTGTTTGCGATTCTTTTGCTTTCAGAAATGAATTGTCTTTATTGGGAGAAAACTTGTGGGTCTTCCCAGTGATAAGTGGAATAACATAAATATGGGGAGATGCTGTGATTTATTAAGAAGAGTTCGTGGCTTGTACATAGGAAGGATTTGAGCAGTGGTTTGCAACCAGTGTGCCATGGCATCCTGGGTTGCCTTGAATGATGGTCAGGCATGTTGCAGGCAACACTGGCCTCTGTCCCTCTTTTCTTTCCTTCCCTCCCTCCTCTGATGCCCTCTTGTGTCTCTTCCTCCAAAGGCTTGCACAGCTGTTTGTTGCAGCAGCCCTGGCTATAAGCTCTGGAGGTGAGTGGTGCCTCTGGGAGACACCTCTCTGGAGCAGCGGGGCGGGAGGGAGAGCTCAGAGACCAGGGACAGCAACTTACCGGAGGACTTCCAAGGAGAGGGGAAAGGAGGCTGAGGGAACACTCTACAAGGGAGGGTGTTTGAAAAAGGGTGAGAGGCTGCCAGCTCTGTGAAAGGGGTGACATAACTGGGCTCCTGAGCCCCACAGGGGTGCCACAGAAAGACTGTAGTTGGCTAAGGGAGCCGTGGACTCAAAAAGGTTGAAAACCTCTGGATTAGAGCATGAGCCCCAGGCTGTCCTCTAAAGGGATTAGGATAACAGTGCAGTGAGAGACATCTGTCCATTGAGTGTCGGTCAGGCCTCATTGCTGTTTATGTGAATGGTTGCTGTAAATAGATATTGAATAGAATTGTATGTGCCACTCTTCTGTTTTTATCAGTGTTCCAGGTGGCATTAGAAAAGTCATACAAGCTGAAAATTTATTGTTGTGCACATAGAAATTATTTGGGGAGCACTTCTGTTATGTAATTTATATTCTTTAGGCCAGAAAATCAGTCCTGAAGGAAAAGCTAAGATTCAGCTTCAGTTGGTACTCCATGCAGGGGACACAACCAACTTCCATTTCTCTAATGAGAGCACAGCAGTGAAAGAGAGAGATGCAGTAAAGGATCTCCTTCAGCAGTTACTGCCCAAGTTCAAGAGGAAAGCTAATAAAGAACTTGAGGAAAAAAACAGGTAAAGAATGTCCCTGTGTCTTTTACTTACAGTGTAAACCAATTTTGGTAATTTGTTAAACTGTCTTGTAATTGTGTCAGATCCATTATGGCTAAGGTATTGGGAGCTCCTGTCCCTAATTGTAACATTAGCCTGGCTTGATTTCCAGGTGCATACATGTTGTGCGAGTGGAGTGAGGCATACTCCTCTAACTTGTCAGAAGTGGATCTTTTCTTCATAGTTGTTGAGCTGTTTCCATATTAGTAAATAGTAAATTCTATATTAAGGGTATGTATGCTGAAACTGGCATAAAATGAATTGTAGTAGCCTTCATTGGGCTACGTTTTATTGATTTAATAAAGTATTAGATGTCATGAAATTACTTCCATTGAAACGTTCCCAATTAGAACAAGATCTTCTGTCTGCACAGCAGGGCCTCCTCTCTTACCCACTCCTAAATCTCTACTGGGGGCTCCCCAACTCTCCCGAGCCAATTGAGAGGGGAAAGAAGTCCCATGGTGCAGATGGAAGTCTTGAATCACTTTAACTGCTCTAACTTGTTCTCCCCAAAAATGGAAGCTCAACAATCCCAAGTGGTAAAAAGCAGCTGTTACGTAAACATACACAGAACTTTGCAGTAATTCTATAAGAAGTAGCTGGTTAAGATGGGGAAAACAATACTTTTGAAAAAGATTGTGTGTGTCCCTTCAGAACTTTCAGTTCTCCAGAATCTAAGGCTTCAATCCTAAGAATCCTAAGCAAGCTTACTAAAGAGGGAGCCCCATTGAACACACACATGCTCCTGAGCACATGTGAGGATTGCTCTGCACATTTAGGTTTCCTGTGTAGCATAGAAATACTTTCTTTGTAAAAGTAACTGTTAACATTCTTGATATTTTTTTCATACGTAGGGCTTACCTCTAAAAGGAAAAAAACATGTTGTTTAATGTTTCTAAAAGTGCAATTACAATTGAAAAAATGATGGGGTGGTAATCTGATGATGAAAGGAAGCTTTAGTAAAACAGATAAGGAATCAGTTTTCAGTGATCCACACCTCCCCAGTCTGTCCTGTTGGGTCTTCCAGTCCTCTGTCACGAAGTTGGAAGAGGGGTGCAGGACACTGCATGAGACAGTAGGATCACATAAAAACTGCTTCACTTCCTGTTCTATTACATAATTTTTTATATAATTATTTCGTATAGTACAGTTGGTTTTTAATTGATATACCTCGATTAAAAAAATTTAATTGTATGTGTAGTATTTTTCATGTTTCATGAACTTACCACTTTTGTAAATCAAAATTTGAGTATCAAAACAGCATAGGTGGCATTTGCTTGTATGTAGCTTGCATATAAACACTAGTTTCTAGAATCCAGTAAGTTATCTTTGGAATTAAACACTTTGAACAATTTTTAATCTTCTCTTGCCAGAATGCTGCAAGAAGATCCTGTTTTGTTTCAACTTTATAAAGACCTTGTTGTGAGTCAGGTGATCAGTGCTGAGGAGTTCTGGGCCAATCGTTTAAGCATGAATTCTGTGGACAGTTCTACTGCATCTAATAAGCAGGATGTGGGCATTTCTGCAGCTTTTCTGGTATGTTTATTGAGGGTTTCTTAATCTAAAAATATTTTTAGCCTTTTAAGGGTAAAAGTTCTCTCAGGGTGACTTACAAGATGAAAGCATACAACAAAACACAATTAATAAAATAAAGTAAGCGAGAAAAGAGCCCATTTAAAAAAATTAAAAAGAATAACATAGAAATAAAACCATCAGTACCTCAACAAAAGCAGTTCAAGGGAAGACCAAGGGAAACAGGCTGTGCTTTCAGAGCTTTCCAATAGACCTGTCGCAACAAGGCCTGCTGGAATCCAGATGATATGGTATTCTCAAATCTGCTGTCTAGTGGTTGCCAGTCTTAACTGCTCTCACAGTTGGGCAGGTAAAAACAGCCTGCATTGTGCAAGCAGGCTGATATGGATGCAGGCCGTTCTTCAGGTAACCTGGACTGTTCTTTTGAGGTCACAAGGGCTGGGGTTTTTTAAGTCACAGTGCCATTTTTTCCAGGCTCAATTCAAGATGCTGGGCTTGTTCTTTAAAGCCTTGAAGAGCCTGGAACTGGAGTGCTTGAAGGTCTGCTTTCTTTGGCATGAACATACCCATTAATTAAAATATTCTCTGAAGGCCCTTTTCCAGTATACCTGCCTTCATAGATTAGACAAATGGGTCATCAAGGAGAGGGTCTTTTCCCTGGTTCCACCTAAGCTTTGGAACTTCTAAAGGCATGTTAGCTTAGCACATTTTTGGAAACTTTCAGGCACTGGGCTAAGTCTGTCCTGTTCTCTTGGGCTTTTGACAATTCAGTGATCATGTCCACATATGTTAAACCATAGTTAAAAACAAACAATAGTGCAAGCTGCTCAACAGTTTCCAGAGCACTCCTGCTGAACCATAAATGAAACAAGCCAGAGTCTCACTTGTCATGTTGCCTGAACCCAGGCCTGTGGTTTGTTTCCTCCAAACAAGCTACCATGATGTATAGCCACTCATATTCCTTGAGCCCTCTTTTTTCATATATGCTGATCTAGGAAGTATTAAACACTACAATTGAGTCCAGGTGTGTATGTTATCTGCATGGGAGTATAGAAATAAGCCTTGGGCTCATGCCCCCTCTCTCATTATGCTTGAATCTGTAATCAGGACTGAGGCTTACACACGTAGGTACTAACTAGCTGTTTCTCAGTATAGGTTAAGTATTGGACATAAGGATGTGTACAAGCCATTTTGACACACTGTATTGACATAGTTCGTTGGTGCCATTTAACAATGATTTGCAAAAGTTCAAATAAATTATTGTCAGTATTTATCTTCTTGTAGGCTGATGTTCGACCTCAGACAGATGGATGCAATGGTCTCAGATACAATTTGACTTCAGATATCATTGAATCAATATTTAGAACTTACCCTGCAGGTAAATAATATATTCAAAACTGAGCTTATATATACATATGTAGCATCCCTGGTATCTATGCAGTTTTTTTCTGACTTTTCCCTTCAATTCACATATCGACTTCCATATATTTTCTCCTTCATTTTAAACTTTTAAACCATAAAAAGTTGGTGTTTTCAGCCTTGCATCTTTGTCCTGTGGGATATTAATTGATTTTACATTTGAACTGTAATTATCTGTCCTTATGGAACCTCTGCTTCTCCAAGGTAACCTAGGATTCCCCATTCTGTGAACTTTATAAATTATATGCATAACCTAAATTAATGGTTACATCTGATTTACATGAATGGTCTTTGTTTCTCTCCACGCTATGCTGTCTTTACTTCCCCCCTAAGGGGCAGAAGAGATCAGTTGATGGGTTGCAAAAGTATTTTATTTATTGTGATCACTTCTTCCTCTTGCATTTCCCAGATTGGAAGTGACTTGGAAAGACTTAGAGGGGAAGGGAATTGGTGGCACAGGAGTACATGGGGAGAATTTCCATTTGGAAATTTCTTGAAAGGAGCCAGAGAATTGAATGAAAACAGAATGAAAGTTCCTTCTCTTGTTGCTCACTCCCACTCTACTTAAATGTTATCTGAAACAGCTAAGAGGAAGATAGACCTGGCCTCAGGCAGGCCACTTGCTTTAGCATGTAGAAGAGGAGAGATCTGGCCCTTCACCTCCCATTTGAAAATGGCTCACATAAAACAGCATATACCAACCATTTGTGTATCCATATTGCTAGAAAGATTAATAGACTACTCGTTTTTCCTGAGTAGACTGCCTGATGACAGATCAGCAGTTAAATTCCATTTATTTGTATATGTTGTAAACAAGGCCAATGTCAATTTAAATTACACATATTTAAGCACATATATAAATAGCATGATTTAGTAGTTCCCAAAAGGTGGCTTGAGTCCACCAGTTGGTGTCTTGAACCTTGCAGTTGGTTACAAGCTTGACATCAATGGCAGATAATGGGGTGGGAGCATGCAAAGAGTTGGGAGTGGTTTCTCTCCCCCCCCCCCACTCCTGGTCAAGGATCAGGCAAGTTCTGAACAAAAATAAAATCCTGTTTGTGTGTCCTGTTAACAGAATGTTTGGAAACAATTGAACGAATCTTCTTCCATTCCTATTCAATGTTACTTTTTCATTGCATGTTGAACTATATTTTTGCGGTTGTGATACACTGTAAATCATCCTGAAATATGATACAATGAGCAATATAAATACATTGTAAATTATTTAATTTGAAATAAAGTATCATTTCTAAGTGCTTTATGTTTGTCATGCTTACAGTAAAACTGAAATACGCAGAAAATGTTCCTCACAATATGACAGAGAAAGAATTCTGGACACGATTCTTCCAGTCTCACTATTTCCACAGGGATAGGCTGAATGCAGGATCAAAAGACCTTTTTGCAGAATGTGCCAAAATGGATGAAAAGGGTATGTTCTTATTTCTTCGCCTGTAGACAATACACTGCAGTTTCTAGCCAAGTTTGTCAGCTTCAGTAATTATACCAAATAACATAGAAATCACATCTGGTAAATACTATACTCAGGAGTAGCAAACAAGTTTTCAGCTTGTGATACTGAACTTTTAAAGCAGTTCACTCAGCAATAAGTCCTATTGACTAACATTCCAAGATGGTAGGATTCCACCACCATGTTTGAAAGGTGGACACTTCTTTGCTTTCCTTTTTCATGTTTTATTTGTATTATTTTTAGAATTATTGCACATATATTCTAGAAACAAAGGTAACCCATACCCAGCAAATCCAACAAAGTTTTCTTTTGTGATCCCCAAAAGTACACTATGAAAGCCTGTATTCTCATCCATACACTAAGACTTATAACAGTATACATATATAAAACATGTTCTTACTAAGTGATCCACAAGTTAGTAAGGTAGACACTTTTCTTCTTCTATTTTTCCCTTTGATGATTTTGTCTATGAAGGAAGGGATGGAAATCAGTGGAAATGACTCTACCACAATACTTGCAAAGCTAATTGAAAACACATCAGTAATTTGCTCACATAGGGTTGTATCCAGCTCCCTGGAGCACATTGATTAAATTTTTCAATAGTTGGTTCTGATATGGCATCCTGTATTTTAAATTCTCCCAATTGAGTCCTTAAGTGTATTTTGAGGGTGCATGGGAGAGGAGAGGGAAGTTTCATTGAGCAAGCTGCAGTCTGTTGCGCAAGTGGGACAGCAGTGAGGGACCACCACATGTTAAAGAAAAGTGGGTGCTTATTACAAAGTAGTACGTACGTATCTATCCCATAAAGTCACTACAGTTGTAATTGTGGCTTCTGATTGGCTGCAGGAAGCTCCTGCAGCCAATCAGAAGCCGCGGAAGCCCCATCAGACGTTCAGGTTCCAAAAGAACAGTCACTTTCGGGTTTGTAGCATTCAGGAGCCAAATTGTCAGAGTTCCAGGGCTTTTGGGATCCAAGGTACGACTGTATATGTATAACATGGAAAAACATATTTTTTGGTTCACATGTAATGCTAAGGTGTGATTCAAGCAAAGCATCTGGCTTGCATTTTCTCCCTCCCTTCTCCCAGCTATGCAGTTAGGAGAACTGTTGCTGAGTTTAGCTTTTGTATTTTAAAAAAATAATAATGGTTTCACACTGCATATGAATTGGGGAACCTGGTTTATAACAATGTTTCATTGCTAAATGAGCTAGCTTCAGACCATGACTTATGAAGGTGGCTCACGTTAACAAATGCTGATTGTAAGCCATGGTGCCTGGCCTATATGCAAAGCTAAAAGCTCAAGCCTTCCCAGCTGTTTGGGAGTGGGTAAATCACACACATCTGTTAAGTGCTAAATCGTGTTTCTTTTTGTAGGTGGCTTTCCCCACTTGCTAAGCTTAGAATGCACTGTTAGGCTGAAAGACATATCTCAATATGGCATATCATCCTCCAAGTATATATGGATTTTCCCTCTTTCTCCTAGGATTAAAAACAATGGTGTCTCAAGGTGTGAAAAATCCTTTCTTAGATTTAACAGCCTTGGAAGATAAAACGTTGGAGGAAGTAAGTATGAGTGATTTAAAACTATGAATTGTATAATATGTATCCCAAGTAAGCATTGGATATTGGCTCTCAGAACTCTCTTTGGGCTATACCGCTTCCGTAGCCATGTCCCTCACCAGCCCTTCTTCACACCATCCATTCGTGTACTTATGTGGCTGGAGTGTGTCATTGAATTCTGATAATGCCTCTTGCTTGCCTGAAGGACACTACTAGTACATTGCCAGGTTCCATAATTTAGGTTGCCATGACAAGTGTACTGCTGCCATCTGGCAAGTATGACAGACCTGCCTTCCCTCTCCGTGGGGATCATTGCCTTATTGGCTCTTGCCAAGAAATCAGTTACCTAGTTTCAGAAAGCCTATTATTTGCCATTGGGCAATAATGATTTGAGCACTAGTAGCATGGTGCTTCTCTTGCAAAAGCTGTCTTAATTATGTTCTTGTTCAGATCTGGGTAAGAGATTTAAAGATTGGGATACCAACTCTTACAGTGTCACAGCCTGCACTAGACCACGCTGCAATGCCAATAGTTCAGCATCTGATTTCAGATCTTCATATTTTAAAATGCAGGATGTCTTGTTCAAACATTTTATCATCTCTTCCTTTGCAGGGTTATGGTGTTTCCTTGGCGGCTTCCACATCCAACGCTACAAAATCAATAAAAGAGAGTAGCAATGCTGCCATTATAAAACGGTTTAACCATCACAGTGCCATGGTCCTTGCAGCTGGGCTTAGAAAACAGTAAGTTTCAGCTAAGAACAGATCTTCAACTAGACTGAAAATCAGCCAAGTCTATACTGTCAAATAGCCCAGCTCTATTTGTGCTGATGTTTAATAATTGAAATCAAAATGGAACAGTCAGACCATGCCCTTTGTAGGTCTGCTCAGATTGGCTCTGACGTTGGGACTCTCTCAGGCAGTTTTTATTAACTTACTTATTGGGTGCATGTATTGTCCATCGAACCAAAAGTTCCAGGATGGGCACATCACTAAAACTGTCTTATATCAAAGGAAGTGTACATGGGGCTAGAGGCTGCTGCCCAAAGGAAACTGTCTTCTCCTTACCCCTGACACAGTGCACTTGCATAAATGCTTTTTGCTTGTGCATAGAGATGAGGGATTGAATCCTGACCATTGTACAGATCTAACTAAACTTGAGTAGTTTGAAAGAACACAGTATAATGCCTAATTCTTGCTTTTCAGAGACACACAGAATGACCACTACAATGAGGCCAGCAGTATGGATGGAAATTCCAGAGATTCAGATTTCTTTCAGCCACCGGTAAAAAAGGTAAGACTGCCTTTGTGATTCTAAAAGAACACCAATGTTCTCCCTTATGGGACTATGCCAAGTTCTGCTTCTTGTGTCTAGTTTTACTGTACCATGACTATGCCTTGTCTTACAGGTAAAGCTGCAAGAGTCCATTGAATATGAAGATTTAGAAAACAACAACAGCGTTAGAACTATTGCACTAAACCTAAAGAAATCAGATAGGTATGATTTGCAGGCCAAATAAAGTAGTTTGGTTCTTTTGGTTCAATACAAAAAATCATTGACCCTGTTCGCCTCTTTTCTGTACATCATGCTTTCAACGAGAAAGAAGCATGCTTATATATACATTACCTTCAATTATGTTTTTTATAAAAAGAAATAAATGAGAACCTTGCCCTCGGGCTTACAGTTTAACAGACAGCAGCAGAAAAAGGGGAAGGATGGGCTGGCAAATCTGAAGATACCCCAGAACACTCTGAGAAACATGAAAATAATTCCAAATATTACATTCTGCTTTTGCAAGAGCTTTATATAAGCAGAAGTGAAATAGTAGCTGTAAAATGTTACTGCACAGCTCTGCAGAAACTCTTGTATATGCTCTTGTACATGTATTTGCAAAATACTTACCGCTGTTTTCTTTCCATTTAACTGTCGTCGTCGAATCTAGCACTTAGGCCTAAATCCAACATAGAGAAGCATTTTTTCACACATTGATTTCAATGGGCTTAAGCAGTGTTTCCCAAGCTTTGGTCTCCAACTGTTTTTCATCTGCAACTCCCACCATCCCTCGCTAGCGGGACCTGTGGTCAGGGATGATGGGAATTGTAGTCCAAAAACAGTTGGAGACCCAAGTTTTGGGAAACACGGGGGTTTAAACAAAGTCTAAGTCTTTGTTGGTTTTAGGCTATAATCTTTTTCACTTGTTAAGATAATTAGGTGGATTAGAAGTGGTTGCAATATTTTATTGGCCCATGTGTTCCTCACTTCACCACTTTTCTGGTTGTTGTCTTTGTTTTGTATTTTCTGAAAAATTGATTTCATTGGTTATCCAGCTTAATCAGACACAATCACTTGGGTTCCCTTGCAGTGGAAGATTTCATTTTCTGGAAAATCAATATGCATTTTAAGGGGGGGGAATTCATTTCGAGCAGAACAAAAGGTGGTACAAAGGTACCTACAGAGTGGGATTGAACACTGAGAAATTGGATTCTTATTCCCAGATTTTTAATTATAATTTCTCCTTTGGTCAACAGGTATTATCATGGTCCAACACCAATTCAATCACAGCAATATGCAACTAGCCAAGATATTATTAATTCTTTGTATAGTATTAGAGAAGAAATGGACACTTATGTACCCAAACTAACTCAGGTAGGATATGTATGTTGCATTATTAAATAAAACAAAACAACCAAAACTGGATTCTGATTGCCCATATGATTAGAAGATTGGATATTGATTGATGCTGCCCAGCATACTTAATCTTGGGGGAGCAAATGTTATGTTTCCTTTGCATATTGTAAAATAGTTTGAGAACTATTTTTAACAAGCACAGAATATTCAGCTTCAATGTGTTGTTTTTTAACTGATAGTTGTCATGATTTGCATAATTGCAGCAGCTATAATGAAGTCTACTGCAGTCTTGCAAATAGTGAAAGCTACATGTGTAACCCCTTTTTATTATTCATATTGCACCATTATTGTGCATGGTGCTTTACAGAAAACAATTGGTCAGGTACCTGCTGTGGTGAGATTACAATATATAAAAACAAAAACAAATGCAGGAGAACAGTTGAGGAAGGGGAGAGAATAGAAAGCAGAGGTAAATGGGGAGAGAATGTGCGATTATTTCAGCTGTATATACAGTGGTACCTCGGGATTCTGGAGCGCCGTTCACATCCTGAATAAAACATAAGACGTGACTGCGCATACGCGGGTTGCGTTTTGCCGCTTCTGTGCATGCACGTGACATCATTTTGAGCATCTGCGCGAGCGGCGAAACCCGAAAGTAACGAGCTCAACGGAGCGCAACCCGAAAGCGCTCAACCTGAAGCACATTCAACCTGAGGTATGACTGTACTTAGTTACAGTCTGGCATGGAGCCCTGTTAAGCTATCAGTTTTTGCAAGTGGTTCTTCCATGTGAATGCTTCCCAACCACCAACAGTTCTTGCATGTTCACTACAGCCCTCCACTGTAAGTCTACAGAGTTGTAACATGTAAGGTATTAAATCACTTCTAGGATAAACTCAGGACTCCGTTGGAGAGGACTAAACATGGGACATCCACAGAAAATATATATGGGTGGATTCAACTTGGTTGTTTCATGCATGGAACAAGGTTTGCTTGTGAAATGGGACTTTGCCCCCACCCCATACACTTCCTAAATCGACTCTGGAGGGTAGGTGGCAAAGTCCTATTGCATGAGTGGCCTTGTTCTCCATGCACATACCCCACTTACCACTATGCTGAATTCCACTCTCTGTTCAGAAGGCCTTTGGAGTACACTTAGTATTGTTTCATTCACTCAAATAATCAATACTGTATTGGGATATATGAAGCAGACAGTCTTGAGTTTAAAGGAACCAGGCCATTTTGATACATGATTGCATAACCTAACTGCCTTAGCACATTAACTGCTCAATTATGAAACAGCATAGTGCTTTGCTCGTTCATTTTGCTATTTTTTTGAGCTCTCCGTCTGCACACCTTGCAGTTGAGCAGCAGGAAGTGAAAACGTGCCTCTTCTTGTACTGCACTTTCAGACATTAGATGTGAACAGATTGTTCTTGCTGTTGGTTTGGTGTTTTTTCTCCCTTATTCTGACAGCCAGCTTGATTTTTCTGCTTCTGCTATTAGGCTTAACCATGTACTGTACTGTAAAGCACTGTAAAGAATGGTTATGGCTGAGTTATATAAATATAATAAATATCCACTTGGGGTATAACAAGAATTGTCATTCTTAATATAACACCAAATAATAATTGTACTTTAGAACAAAATTAATATGGCATATAACTATATGGTTAAGCCCATATGACTCAAACAATATCCATAGGTTTTGAGGAGTTCTTTTATTATGGTGTCTGACCTTTATTTTGCCTCTTTTTCAAGGTTATCTCAAGTGGTGCTGCAAGTAGTACAATCGCAGCTCTGTCACCTGGAGGAGCACTTATGCAGGGTGGAACACAGCAAGCCATAAATCGTAAGTATTTTATGTCTTCGTCACTCATGCCTTATCAAATGTGTGAAATGCTCATGTAAGCATTATAGGACAATTCTTTTAGCTAAGGTGAAGAGATTGAAAATATCTGACTAGTTGTACAACCCTGGCTGTGGCAAGAGTTCTTTTTCCACCCAGCTCAGGCCAGTTGAATAGTTTTCAGTGAGGGACAGTGGACCTACTGAAAACGTTTGCTGACCCCTGGCCTAGTCCTTAACTGTGTGGGATCCTCTAATGATGCTAATATCAAAAACACAATTTTCTTCCCACTGCCAACTATCAGAGTTTGTGAGCTGAGGTGGTGGTATAAATGTGACTTGCCTTCATTGTTTTTGACTGCAGAGATGGTGCCAAATGATGTTCAGGCTGAGCTGAAACACTTGTATGTGGCACTAGGAGAGCTGTTACGACATTTTTGGTCCTGCTTTCCGGTTAACACACCATTCCTAGAAGAGAAGGTAGGATCTATAGTAGGGCTTGGCTTATCCCTATCATTATTGATATACAGCAGTCTGTTCTGTAATGAAATGTGCATGCTGAGATCTGTTGATATGAAAGCTTTCTATAATGAATGGTCTGCTGCATGCAACAATTCTGTCCCAGATGAACAGCAGTGTGTGGAATGTCAGTTCGCTATTGGAGCAAATGTAGTACCAGCTGACCTTGCTACCTAATCCAGTGGTTTTTTCAAATAATTTCGAAAAAGATGATTTTTGTCTTCAGGGACTTTAAAAGAAACTTTGAAAATTAATAAGTGCAGGAACAAACGTTCTGCACTGCATATGTGTTCTGTATTTTAATGAGGCATACTATAGAAAGTTTAAAGTATAACAACTTTAAAAAAAACTTCCATATGCTAAAACAAGTGTGTAGTCTGCTTTCCCATTCAGTCAGAAGTTTTAGGGTTCTATTTTAATGTGTCTCTGCTAACACGGTTTTTTTATCCAGTGGAAGATTCTATAAATGGAAAGTGTGAGGTGGAAGTAATTTTCACAGATATTTTTCCCCTTCCATCTGTCTGACCCGCACGTGACCTCCCCCCATCTGTTTCAGAGTTGGGGGCCCTTTTTTGGAATAGTGTAGCATGTAGCATAGGGAGCTGCAAAAGAAACCCCCCCCCCATTTCCCCACTTGCAGAATGCTCCAATGGATTAGAGTTATTTCAGCAGCAGAGCACAATTGGATACAAGCATTAGGGTGAAATCCAACAGTGGAAATCTACCAGTGGAACGGATAAGTTTGAAAAAGCAAAATAGCTTCCTTTAAATGTTTGTTCTCTGATATTTTCTCTTTCAGGTTGTGAAAATGAGGAGTAATCTGGAAAGATTTCAAGTCACTAAACTGTGTCCATTCCAAGACAAAATTCGAAGACAGTATTTAAGCATAAATGTAAGAGGGAAAAGCAACCTACGAATATGAAATATAAGGGTAGCATAATGCATTGTTCATATAAATTGCTGATTGCTAGAAAGAATGGCAAAATTGATTTGCCTTATATGAAACAGGTACCATTAACTTCAGAAATAAGGAGGCTTTCAGTTTTTTCTAGAGTGGGCAGTGAACACCGTGAAAGTATTTCCTGTAACCCAGCCCCCTTTCTTCTTAAATGTCAACTTCGAGGAGTGGACCTGTGTAAGATAAGGCTAAAGGTGCTTTTTTTGTGAGTTATTTAAACTTCCCTTCAAGTTGCTAGCTATATATTGCCAGTATGTACTATTGTGCAATAGAGGACAAGTAAAAAAAAGTTCTGACTCATGAAATGAAGTCGTCTTGTTCACTGATCTGTGTGTGATTCTCCTTTTTTTTTTTTTTGCACTCAGAGGAGATGAATACTTGGTGTTCTATACAACTCAGTTCTCCTCAGAGTAGACTCAATCAAAATTAACAGTCCAGACTTAAGTCACTTTCATTAACTTCATTGGGTCCACTCTTAATAGGACTAACATTGATTGTAGCCCTTGGCTTAGTAATATTTTTGTACTAATTTTTGCAAACCTTGTTTTTTTCAGCTGATAAATCACATAGAAGAAATGTTGCAAACAGCCTACAATAAATTCCACACATGGCAGTCTCGGCGTATGTTGAAGAAAACGTGAAGACCCAGTGATGCCAGATTTTTTGAGTGGGAAGCATTTGCAATAGCTGTAGGAATGCAGCTACCCAGTGGGGTATATCTTACAGACAATGCTGGAAAGTCAGCATCATACGGACTCCTGAAAACGATTCTAACTGAACTTGCACACTTTCTGGAAAGAAACAAGAGGTCAAACTTGAAAACTAGGAAGTTAAAAGGAACCAAACCGGAAGAGCTAAGTGGCAAATATCTATATAAATGTAAAGACACTGTTTACTGCAGTTACTCAGGAACTGCTTTTGATTTTCATAAAGAGCTGCTTTCAGAAATAAAAACTTTAAAAGGGGTGTATTAATAAATCCAAGATTGTTTGTCTAGTTTTTTAAAAGTGTATGATACAGGGTAGAACCTAAACAGTTATTTCTTCACTGTATCCTGGCATTATATTGAATTCTGTTTGTATTTCTAGAAACAGGTTTAACATTTTAAATATTACTGAGAAACTTTTTTGCCTCAAATTCCTAAGCAGCTTAGATGCTAAAATAAAAAAGTTTTGGGTTTTTTTGCCATGTTTTGCTACAAATCAACAGCCAATGCACTGAAGAAGTTTGGTGTTTAAAGGAGGTACCTTTGGCAGAAAGAGTGCAAAGTTTTATGCAGGATTTTTACCAGCCATCGTTTACATGTTTTCTTTTTACCGCTAGAGTGTGCTGCTGCAGTTTTTTAAAGTCTGACTTTTTTTTTGGAGGTGAAACAAAATCATTTTTAAAGTGAGTTTAAGAAGCTTACAGAAGTAATAACTTTTTATACTATTGAGGAAAGAAACAATCTTACATGTGCTTTTTTCAGTTCTCTCCTGATGACTGTTAGCGCTGTATCTGGCGACTAGATAATCATTGAAGAGTGAAAATACGATATCTTTAGCTATATGTGGAATCTGTTCCATATTATGGTCCAAACAGGAAGCATTTCACTCTTACCTAAGATGTACCTGCCATGTATTAAATACTTGACTTATAAAAACAAAAAGTAAACTTGTTTTATATAGTCCATGGAGTCAGACTCCTTATATTTTGTTGTCTTAATGTCTTCCTCATTAGAAGTCTATTCTAGGACCAAGCAAATGGCTTTATGGCTTTGATTGTGTGTGTGATGAGATCTATTGAGATATTTTAGAAACCAGTGGTTTATGACCCCATAAACCATTATTTTTTAGTGGCAACTGTTGGAATTCATTGGTAAGTTAGAAACTTTATCCTATTTTCAGAACAGTTCATGCCCAGAAAGAATTATTAGTATTACTGATTTACAGTGTATTGGCATGAAGGATCGCTTCCCACCTTGAGCCAGGTCTATGAACTAGCAGTTGGAGAACCACAAGAATTTCTCCTCATGCAAGAGTATGTGCTTCTTTACATGCTCACACAGTGTTCTCCGGTGAATTGATATTCTGCAACAACCCAAACTTGATAAGCAGACCACTGTATCTATACTGAAATACTATGAAGTAGATGTAAGGCATTATCCTTAAACTTGCCACTGCTTGCCTTTTCAGAGGGGCTGCATGTTATGTGTTGCAAAATGATTCTGCTTCTAAACGAAAAGGGGCTTTCTCTTTGATCGGACGCGGCGAAATGTGAAAAGCTGGAATTAATCATGAATAATAAAAGCTGTTGCTGCTGTGGTAATGTCAACTTACTGAAACATGGCTCTGGTAATACGTCACTGTGTCTTTTGGGTGAGCCCCTCAAGCAAGCGTAATTCTGATGACCTTGTCGGCAGTGTACCAATGACACATACATATCTTCAAGTATCATCTGTGCAACAAAGAGCGTACTACAGCTGCCAGGCTGAAACAGCTTTTTGCATTGAGAAATGCTTTGGTCAGGCTCAAGCGCAGGATTCATGTGCACACATTCTACTTGATCATGTTGCTGTGAAGGTATACATTTGCACTGATATTTCTGAGCAATAATTAGCTGATACAGACCATAAAGGTGGGCTTCATCAAAACTTATTCAGGCAGATAACCAGATTAATGGTCATTTAACAAAATATTTTTTCTGTCTTCTCTTCCTGGGATTTTAAAATTTCCATAGTTATGTCAGGCTTTGGGACAAAAAAGTCTGTAATTGCAGAAATATCCCCAAATAGAGGATTTAAACACCGTGAATGGTTTTTTCAATTCTTTGACTTGAGAAGTACCATGAGACTCTCCTACCAGAAGATGGCAATAGCACTATCATGCCTACATCATGCCTACTTTCCTTACATAGCTCTTTTGTGCTCCTGCTGTTTGACCTTTGTTGATTCCAGTACTACTTAAGCATGGTCCAAAACAGATGAGTGGCATTAACTGTGAATTGATGTTTTGCTACCATGCAGTTATTGGAATCTGAAGATAGAACTTGTATTTAATGGAAACTCATGCAACTTGTATCACTGGCATTGATCCAAAATTGTAGAATAAATCTGAATTCTGTAGTCAAGTGGTTTTTCTATGCTTTAGGGTGTCTATCTTGTGACTTCTCTCAAATCAAGAGGAAATATCAACTCGAGAATCTGATAATCATGCTTGTGTAACTGAGTATTTTAAAGGTTCCTTTGTTTTTGACACGCTGAACTGTAATTCATTTCAACATTTTACTTGCAAATATTCTAGGCTGCTGCGGCTGTCCTTCAGTTGAAAGGAAAATATCCTTTCTATCTTTTAAATGGGAGCCTCAGCTGTGTGTGCAACTGCTGCTCAGGCATTGCATGTTGGGTAATGGCACACATGCACATCAATGCTCACCCAACCACACAGTCTGCACACTCAGCAAGAGGTCTAGGAGATCAAAGAAGAGCAGAGAGTACAGCTGTAGGAGGCTCTGGTTAGGCACACAAATAACAATGAATATAATGAAACAATTGAACAAATATTTTGTTTAAAAAATCATTTACATTTTTACTTGCAAAAAATAGAATACCATACATTTTAATCAAATAATTTTTGAAAAGAAATGCAAAAGTGTGCATGCAGCTCATGTCATTAAAATAATAATAATAATAATAATAAATTTTATTTATATCCCGCCCTCCCCAGCCGAAGCCGGGCTCAGGGCGGCTAACAACACTAAAATAGTGCAACATTATAAAACATCATAAGAATTAATTAAAATCAAAATTGATGGCAACCATAAACTAAAGTATTGTAAAGATTGCCAAAGGAGGGAGTCAGGCTGTGCCCTAACCAAAGGCCTGGTGGAACAGCTCTGTCTTGCAGGCCCTGCGGAAAGATGTCAAGTCCCGCAGGGCCCTTGTCTCTTGTGACAGAGCGTTCCACCAGGTTGGAGCCGCAGCCGAAAAAGCCCTGGCTCTAGTTGAGGCCAGCCTAACCTCTCTGTGGCCTGGGACCTTCAAGATGTTTTTATTTGAGGACCGTAAGTTCCTCTGTGGGGCATACCAGGAGAGGCGGTCCCGTAGATACGAGGGTCCTAGGCCGTGTAGGGCTTTGAAGGTTAAAACCAGCACCTTAAACCTGATCCTGTACTCCACCGGGAGCCAGTGCAGCTGGTATAGCACCGGATGAATGTGCTCTCGCAGCGAAGACCCCGTAAGGAGTCTCGCTGCGGCATTCTGCACCCGCTGGAGTTTCTGGGTCAGTCTCAAGGGCAGCCCCACGTAGAGCGAGTTACAATAATCCAGTCTGGAGGTGACCGTCTCGTGGATCACAGTGGCTCGACACTGTGATGATTATGTATTTCCTAAATATAAGGAGTTCCATAAGTTTATTTTTTCCTGGGCTTTATTAATCTAATCCAGAGCCAGAGTGTGGAGTAGTGGTTAGAGCCCTGGAATAGGACATGGAAGACCAGCATTCAAATCCCCACTTGGCCATGGAACTCAGTGGATGACCTCAAGCCGGTAACTGCCTCTCAACATAACCTACCTCGCAGGCTTGTGGGGACTAAGTGAGGAGAAAGATAACCATCTTATGCCGCCTTGTGCTCCTTGGATGTAGTCAATCTGCCCCAGAGGGTTGATGGAACCCTCAGGTTTGGGGAGGGGAAGTTGCATTGCACATAATGAAACCTTGCCCCAATTTTCTACTTTTGTGACAGTAAATTCTTCCTCCACTTGTAAGCTGATGGTGTGTTGTCCATTCTACCACTGCCATTGTACTATAGGGCTTAGGCTAGGAGTTCCTGCCCCACTTCATCACATCCTATGTTTGTTATTTGGGAAAAACAAATCAACGAGATCAGTGGCAAAGAGAAATTGCCTCTTTCCATGTTATGCAGTGCCTGTGGTTCAGTATAGTTAAAGGTAAAGGGACCCCTGACCATTAGGTCCAGTCGTGACCGACACTGGGGTTACAGTGCTCATCTTGCTTTATTGGCTGAGGGAGCCGGCGTACAGCTTCCGGGCCATGTGGCCAGCATGACTAAGCCACTTCTGGCGAACCAGAGCAGCGCACGGAAACGCCGTTTACCTTCCTGCCGGAGCAGTACCTGTTTATCTACTTGCACGTTGACATGCTTTCAAACTGCTAGGAGCAGGGACCAAGCAACGGGAGCTCACCCTGTCGCGGGGATTCGAACCACCGACCTTCTGATCGGCAAGTCCTAGGCTCTGTGGTTTAACCCACAGCATCACCCATACCTCTAGTATGGGTGCTGTAATGGGGATCTACATTCCATGAGAAAAGGCCTAGGTTTATGCAGGATCGGACTGGCCTTGACATGTACTGGATTACCGGTATCCTCTGGGGCAGGAAGTTTGTTCCTACTGATGTTAATTAGGCAATAAGAGAAATGCTGTGGGCCTTAAAAGGTGGAGAATGTCTTACTGTGTTTGCATAATCTGCCACATACTTGTGTCTAACCCCATCCTAGGTGGCAAATGGCCCATTAAGAGAGATTAGTGTCAAAGGTCAGCCCCTTAAATTGCCTAACAATACCTGAATATTTGAGGCTTTGTTCATCCTGGTTCCCTGTTTCATTCTTAACTAAAGTGGAGAAAGGAATTAGATGGCGACATTGCTAGCATTGGCACACACCAATTCTGGTCTCAGTGGGGCTGTGTTGCCTTTTGTTTTTCTGGGCTCTTGGTTGGTAAACTGGCCTCAAAATCCAAGGAGAAAACTACCCTTTTGCAAACTGGATTTTTATGGCTAGGAAGCCGAATGACTCATGCAAGAGAGATGGCAATTTTACTTTTGACCAGCCCCAAACTTCCATGTAAAACTACTCAATAAGCCTGTTGATCTGCTCCCCTTTCTTTCTCAGCCGCTCTGCACTGAGGCTGCTTCTGCAAGTAGCTCCAGGAGTCTGAACGGTGTTTTTCTTTTCAGAGCAGTCTGGGTAATTCTGTAGCATAATTTGCTCCCTTGATGATTTCCTGGCCATTAATGTCATTACCAGGTCCTCGCTCTGGCAGAGAGACCACTTCACCTTAAGCCAACATTGTTAACAAGCCATTTACTCTGAGTCAGATACAATGAGGCAATTGAAACAAAGCAACAGTATGTCTGAGCTGAACTGTACAACCTTTCAACCTTCTGCTTAGTGAGTATACATTTTGCCACTGAGCTGCTACAACCCCTCTCCCTAATGCAGTACTGTAAGGCATCGGCCCTCCAGATGTTTTTCGGACTACAATTCCCATCATCCTTGACCACTGGTCCTGTTAACGATGGGAGTTGTAGTCCCAAAACATCTACAGGGTTGAGTTTGGGGATGCCTGCCCTAATATATTCTTCGTTTGCCTCTGGCTTAAGCATCATGCTCAATGTAGCAGAAATAGTACATTCTGAGATTGCTGAAACAATGAGCGCCTTTAGATTCTCTACCTCATCACAGAGAATTGTAGGATTTGTAGAGCTGGAAGGGACCAGAAGGGTTATCTAGTCCAACACCCTGCACTGCAGGAAGATTTCCCCAGCATGGGTTAGTAGAGTCTCATGCTCTACTAACCGAGCTATCCCAGCTGTCATAAAAAAGAGCAGTGGCAGATTGAGCAGTTATAACAGCAGTGTTGGTTGCCTTTGAAGAGTTTGACTAGTTAATCTGAAATCTGATGAAGCGGGCTCTGTGCCTTACCCAAAGCTGGATATACCATCCTAGTTATCTACCTGGGTGAACACATCTGGCACATCCAGCAAAACAGACTGTCTTCTTTGCCATCTGTGGCTGTCATCTAAGGCAATCATCCTGGTCTCTTCTGTCTCCCCTCACTCCTTTAGATGCTTAGTTAATGGGTGCTGCTTAATTCCTATATGAAATGCAATAAAGGAAAGTTGAAAGTTGCTAGCTGGACTATACTGGAGAAATGTAAAATACATATTACTTCTTTAAACATTAATCTGAGTTAGCACAGGCAGTGGGAAACTTCTCCTAAACTAGGCTGCCTGGTTGGCTGTTCCCATGCCAATGTCCGAGTCCTAGTTCTCATAGAGATGGTAATCCTGTGTTCCCTAGGCTGCGCATGACTGAATGAGCCTCCATGCAAAAAGAAATTTAAATAACATCATGAAGGCTATGCTAGAACCTTTCTTTCTGGCATCATTTAATAAAGTTGGCAGCAGCTAGGTGTCCATTTGGACCGTTGACTGTAATAGTAATTAGTTCTCTCTCTCCCCACCCCCACCCCAAGCCTTTGTTATTTTTAATCAAATATGAAATGTGGGCTTGTTACACGTAGGACCATTAGTAAAGTCACTGGCCCTACCAAAATTGCTCATTAGCAACAATTAATATTTTGTTTATAAGCAGCCAGCCCTGGAAGGAAGCAGTCTGAGCATTTCCCTAATTGAAGAAGTTACACTGCAGAACAGTTTAAGATGATTTTTAAGATTTTGCTGACAATGGGGATATGGTGATGTTCTGGGTAAGGCCAGTGTTCCTGTTCCCTCTTTGTGTTCAGTGTACACAGGGAGGGAAACACTGAAAAGGATAAATGAGTTAGGGAACTTGTTTCCACACCCCATCACTTGCAGATCCTAAAATGCCTGCATTGTTCTGACAGGTCCGCAATTTAACTTAGCACAAGTCAGTCTGAGAGATATGTTGGAAAAGTTTGTACCTATGCGTCAAAGAGAGAATTTCACTGTGAGCTTGCAAGCCGGCCTTTGGCAAGAAGTCCTAAACAATTTAAGTGGATAATTGGATGAAAATGCCATCAAACAAGTGCAATCGCTGGAACCTGTTACAGTACATGAGTTACTTTCCTAGTAAAGTTACACATCACACAGTTGCAAAGCTCGCCATTTCTAGATCTGCACATGTAAATTTCCCTTTCTCCTGTGAGAACTAGGGAGCTGGAGGAAGCCTTATAGGCCATCTATCTTGTTGCAGTATATCTAGAGATCAAGGGAGGGAGATGCATTCTGGTTTGGACATTTTTCTGGGATAAAGGAGGCAGACATTATTTCTATTTGACCAGCATATTAAATCTATTGCTATACTTTGTCAAGAGCATGACTTAGTACAAACCCATCTATG